TTAAAAGTATGAATGTGGATGCTAGGACTCACAATTTTACCTATGGATCCCCTTTAGTTCAGCAATCAAATCATTGAATAATTAGCCAAGGAATTCAAAGCATTAAATTCATGAATAAAATCAACAGATGTGCATTTGAAGAACTAGAATCTTGAATAAAAGAAATAGAATGTCACACATACATTAAATTGTTCATCCTAACTATGAATTTAACTACTTATAATGATGAAAGAAAAACTCAAAGTATAAAGTTCATAACCAAGTTTTGAAATCTTGATCATGGAAAGAATTGGATCTTACACGAAGAATCTTATTCAACCTCAAAAGTCTTCAAACCCTAACTTTTTGCTCTTTGATTTTGATAAGTTAGTGTTTTCTTCCTCCCAAATTATGTTCTTTAGAGGTGTATTCATGTCTTCTTCAAGCTTTGGAAAAGTTTTAATTGAATTGGGCTTTTAAAAAAGATGAATTTCACTTGGAAATCCTAATTGTAATTTGCGTCACGCCTAGACGCTGCAACTAGGCAGTGACTTTCGGAGGAAAAAAAAAAAAAAAAAGGTCCGCCACATAGCACCTAGACGTTGTTGTCAATTTCAGTTGTCATGTACAACTTTTAGTATTTTTATTACAACTTTTTTTCCCAATATTCGATTGAGGGGATTCAAAATGTGTTGGAAAGATAACTCAAAGGGGTACAACTTTATTAGAAATAGCTCTTGTCCAATTCGAATATTTACTAGGCAAAAAATGGGTCTCAATATCCGGCTTAAAATCTAAAATATCCTTGTTTTGTTGAAAATTGATTCATGAAAATATTTTGGTCATATTTCACCAATTTTGACTTCTAATTGGATCTAATTGATTGTCATCAAGAGGTTTGATGCAACTTTTGAGTATTTACACTTTAGTCCTCACACTTTGAATTTTACCCATTTTCACCAATTTTTGCGTTCTTCTTCCAGTTCCACTTCCTTCAATCAAGTGTCACGTAATAAACGAAATATACAATAAATTAGGCTATAATTATTCGAAAGAACTATAAATATCTACATTTTTAAGTCCAAATAAGTGTATAAAATACACTTATCATACATACTTCTAAGATTAATATTAGATTAGGAAAATAAAATTAGAAGAATATCATTACGGAGGATTTATTTAAGGTGGACTATAGTGAATTATTATACGATGTCATGTTAGAAAACTGTATAAATATTGAAAATATAAAAACAATTAACAATAATTTTGTCTAAGATTAAAAAATGTGTAGTAATTTCATACTAATTTGTTAAGATAACTGTTACATAAAAATGACTTTTTAAGTAATTCTTTAATTTGTGTCAGAATAAGTAATTTGATCATTATTAATTTTAATTACAATATTGCTATTTATTTTAAAACTTATTGATTTACTTAGTAATTAAAAAACTGTTTCAGATTTGGTTAATGAAAAATTAATTATTTGAAAACATATTGTAGTACCTCGCTTTAATATTTTGTGCTAAGTTCATCTTTGGTGTAAATTAAAAAGTAGATAAAAATTTAAGTCAAAATCAACATTAATTTTAGTCACACATTTTAGTGAGACCTACAACTTATATTAATTTTTTAAACACATATTTCATTAATTTTTACCAAAATTTACTTAAAATTAGATTTTTTGCTACGCCAAAAAGGCTAAATGTTACACAAGATTAAGTAAGGTCTCTATTTACTGTGAAATTTAGTTTCACACTTAGCTCTGGTGCACCAATTGCTTTTTAGTGTTAACGTTCCAGGTCATGTAATTTCTAAATATTGAAAAGTCCTCAAGTTTTTTAATTTTTCCCAATAATATATAAGTCAAAAGCAGAAATTCACTTTTCTGTGATTAAGACATATCATTTACTCATTTATGATGTATCGTGACCCTAGAGAATTAAGTACTTTACTTATTAGTCATCAACAACTAATATTCAATCACCAATAATCAGGGGCGGGGCCACCTTAATTGAAGTATTCTCAAGCCAAAAATAAATAATCAGCGCTCTATTTGCCAATGTACATATGTAGAGAGAATTAAAGAGAGAAACAAAAAGAAAAAGAGAGAGAATCGCCAACAAGAAGAAGGCAAGAAGCGTCCTAAACTTTTCTCATGTATATATTTGCTGTAAAATATATGTACATATGTTGAAAGAGTGAAGTCACCACCCATTATTGGTTGCAGTGGCAACAATACATGCATACAGAGAGAACTTGATGGCACAAATGAAAAGTTAGATAAACTCAAGGTTATATATCTAAACATGAAATCTGCATTAAGACCCATCAACTTTGTACTATAGCTGAAGAAAGTATAAAATTTCAAAGGTTCACATATAATTTATTTAATTATTATTTTTTAGGTTGAGGCTACAAATTGGTGCGAATCTTGATTGATTATATAGCGTGCATATGAAAACTTGATACATTTGTTCCTAATTTTTTACATATTGCTTTGTTTGTGTATATTAGATAATTTTTTTGGATATGTTTGATTTTGTTTGTTGGTTTATTAAGTTTTGAGTTTATATATTAGTTAAAAATAAATAAATAAAATTGAATGCATATTGCATACTTAAATTTAAGAGCTCAAATTTAAAATTTATCTCAGACTCCGAAAAATCAAAATTCAATTTTGATTAAATTATGCACGCACTAGTCAATATTCCAGGCTCCGCCCTTGTACACCATTATAAATTATGTTTTTAGACTTTAGTAAGTTATTTATGTACACAACTTTCAATGTAATACGTAACTTAAAGGGACTTCCAAATATAAATAAATAAATATGAATGTTTGACTATACAACTGAATTTGCAGAATTGCCTTTGAGATCTAGGTCGAGGATCCGCTTTATAGAATTTGGTGATTTACACTGCATGTTGACAAACTTGAATGAATTTTGACTAAATTTTTATTTATTATCACATATGACAGTTAAAAAGTTAAAAAATCATATGACCCCGAGATGAGCTTCGAGGGGGTCGTACATTCTACAAGTATGACGATTGGTTAGAAAATTTGCATGATGATAAGGAAGAATTTCAACCATTATTTCATTTTTTGTCGTAGCAGCGGATTATAGTTGGATCTAACCTAACTACACCTAATCCTAATCCAATAATAAATCAGAGTTTATTTGTTTATAAGAGGAAATTACATGGCTTCTGGCATTTCAAGACTACAGTGCAAAAATCGGGTGCTAAGAGTTTTTAATAAAAAATCAGATATTATAAAATTAACCCACCCCGCCCTGCCCCGCCCCACCTAACCCAATTTCATCTGAAACCCTAAATCGAGATTCCTATTCTTTTTCTCTCTTTTTCTTCAACAAACATATCACTAAGCATTGTCGGCGAAGTGCCGATGAGTGGCACAATGCCGTTCAAAGTGACTCGCTCTCGATGTCACTGTGCAATGATGACTTCAGAGATAATGTGATGAGAGGCTTCAATGATGATGTCATTGTTTGGCGACAACGTCTGCAACACGATATGTGGATGAGTGGTCGACGATCTGTGGTTTGTGTTGATTGCTGCTAATATTGGTGTGGGAGTGTTTGTGACCAAGTTTGTGGTTAATTTCTGACCAACTATTTAATTAATTATGATCTAAAAATTCGATAATTTGTAACTTAAAAATAATTTGTAACCAAATAAATTTATAATTTTTGATCGATAAATATATTGTGATCTATAAATTTTTTGATTTTTGATCAATAAAATCAATTGTGAACTATAATTTTTTTTGATGTATGACCGTAAAATAATCTATGACTAGTTAATCTGATAATATGTGATCAATAAATAGTTTGTGACTTATAAAGACGTATTTGTGACTATTAATTGTATAATTTTAACCTTAATACATTTAATTAATAAATTTACTTATCACCTGAGTTTTAAATTTTGCAGTTTAAAATCTGAAAACTGAATACAATTCTTGAAATTTTTGATAGCGTTGGTTCTAAAAATAAATGGGATCAACAAGTTACAAATTTTATATTACTTGTTCACGACGTTGTATACTTGCAACATATATGCATTTTTTGCCCTCAGGGCATATCTCCCAGTGGCAAAGGAGAGGGCGAATAGGGCTCAGCACGATAGTGTGCAGAGTTCGATTCCCCACAAAGTGGAATTGACTTTGTTGCAAGCGGGAGTTACCATATGGGTTAACAGTCTTGACCTATCCATGTGTTCTCCACCCTGACTCCTAGGAGGCACATCCTGTGATTTACCTCCTCCACGATGGCCTAGGACAGGGTCAGTGGGGGCCCTTAGGGTTGGGGTTCAACCTTTTTTTT